ATCATAAGTCAGACACTCATGAGAGAATGAGGTAAAAGTACAAATAAATAACTTCTTAGTGTTATTGCGAAAATAGTTTTGACACTGTGAATCCCCCCAAAATTCCCTGCATGACATTTAGATAACCTTTATATTTGAGGTATGACATTGGGTAATATCCTAACCTTGATGGGCCTTCGTTTTCCCATTTGTAAACTGGGGACTATTAATAGTACTTAACCCTACGTGTACACCATGGAATACTATGCAGCCCTAAAGAAGGATGGAGACTTTATCTCCTTCATGTTTATATGGATGGAATTGGAAAATGTTCTTCTTAGCAAAGTATCTCAAGAATGGAAGAAAAAGTATCCAATGTACACAGCCCTACTTTGAAACTAATTCATAGCTTTTATAGGAATGTCATAACCTAATTATAGCCTTAGAATATGGGAAGGGGGTGGAGAGTGGGGCGAGGGGGGGTGGATGAGGGGAAGGAGGATGATTGGTGGGGTCACCTCTATGGTTTATCTTACAAGGATACAAGTGAATCTTTCTAAAAACAGAGTATGAATGTTTTAACTCAATAACTAAGAAAATGGCATAAAGGTTACATTAACCAGTTTGATGAGAGTATTTCAAAATATATATGAAAATAGCACACTGTACCCCATGATTGCATTAATGTACACAGTTATGCTATAAGAAATAAAAAAAATAGTACTTAACCCATAGGTTTGTTAAAATTTAGTGAGCTAATATATATAAAGCACTTACAATGGCACATAGTAGGTATTTAGTGAATGTCAGCTATTTTCCCTTCCTTTTGTAATTGCAATTCTGAGTGGCAGCAAACACTCCTTTAAGAAATGGCAGAAACTTATAGAAACTTTATTCCAACTGATTTTCCCCTCTTGCCCTCTCTGCCCCAGTTGTGAAATGAAGCTTCCCATCTCCTTGCCAGTTGACAAACGCTGCTGTCAAACAATTGTAGGTCTTAATTCCAGCCGGTTTGTGGTGATGAGGCTGCTTTACGCAGACTTAACCAGCTACTCAGTTTACTATGCTATCCTTCCTCGGATTCTTTCTTTCTTCCTGATACCTGAAGTCATCTTTTTTCATGAGTGGAAGTTGGGTGGTAAATGATGGGAAGGATGAAGAAGTGATTTCACAGCACCAGGCTCTGCCCAGGGCTACCAGGCCTGAGGTTAACTACTGTCCCCTCTTTTGATTTCCATACTGCAATTGTGAAACAGATCGATATATACTTGAGGAGAGTTAGATGCCATCATCAAAGGGTTGAGGATTGATGTCAGCTGCTCTGCTTTATTATTATTTTTTAAAGATGGGAGTGAGTGTAATTCTCAATCTTGGCTTCACACTGGAATTACCTGGGAAAAGTTTAAAACTACCAATACTTAGATTTCACTCCCAGGGGTGGGGAGTTAATCACCTGGGGTATGCCATGCATAGGCATCAAGATTTTGCCTCCAAAGTCTCACCAGGCTGAGACTATGAAATAAGGTCACATTTTTAACTTGTTATTATTGTTTGTAAAATATAACAAATCTACAAAAAAGCACATATTTCACAAATGTCAGCTTGACAAGTTGTTGCAAAATGAACACTCATATACTGTGATCCAGCACAAGCAAATGGGACATTGCCAAACACCCGAGGGTGGCTTTTTCCAGTCATGTTTCTTTTCCAACCCTCTAGAGGTAACCATCACCTTGACATTTGATTGTCCCTCTTTTTGCTTTGTTTTACAATGTTACCATATAAGGAGGAATCCCTAAACAACATAGACGAGATCTGCAAGCCTTTGAACTTTATTTAAATGAAGTCATAGAGTGTTTGGCTTCCTTTGCTCGATATTGTATGCATTTTTTATTCAGTTGTTTTTGGATATAGCTGTAGTTCCTTGCTTTTCATTATTTCATAATCTCAGTGTACCTCAGGGTCTTTCTCCATTCATGATGGATATTTTGGTTGTTTTTGGTTCGGGACTGTTACAATCAATGCTGCTCTGAGTATTTTTTTTTTTTTTGGTATGTATCCTAGTGCACAAAGATAGATGTTTCCGACTAAAATATCTGGAAATGGAGTTGGACACGTTCACTGATCAGAAGGAAGAGACAGGTTGAGGGGAAGTTTTGGTAGACTCTTGGGGTAGACAGGAGTTTGAGTCTGGGCCCCTGTTAACAACTGCTCAGGCTGAGGATCTTGCAGGGTCACACTACCCTGAGCTCTGTACCTGGGAGTGCTGATGATCTGCAGAAGGCAACCCAGAGGCTGTGCTGTGCCTTCGGTAGTTTCCTGGGCCCAAGGGACAAAGTCAGCGTTTGCCAAGCATAGAGATCCTGATGAAACCCTTCCCACTCTAGGCTGGGATCCAAGGGCAGCCTCCTAACAGTGGGGTCACAGACTCTATGGCAGGGCAGTTGGCTGGCCCAGAAAATATCAGGCTTTCATCCCATCCTCAGCAACTGGTAGAAGGAAATAAACATAGTTTCTGGAGAAAGATAACATCGGCCTAGGCCTTAAGGTAGTTGTCAAGTTCTAATTCTCTCTGTGAACTTGATAGGTAATTCTCCAGTATCTTGTTTGTTCAAATGATGCTTTGTTGAAGATGCTTTTTTTTTGTTATTTTCAGAGGTAACTTTGGTATAGATCAATTGTTATAGCACATGGTCCCAATCCTGTATGAGTACCATAAATTCAGGCTTGTTTCAGATACCTTTGCTACAGTACCTCACCCCCTCAAGAGGGGTGGTCCAGGGAGAGTCAGCAAGCTTTACCAGTCTATTCTCGTAGTTACCTGGCCCTCTGGGCTACTGCTGTGACCTTCTGCAGATATTTTCTTGCTGTATCAACTCCATTATCCTTTGGCTGTTGCTGTCTTATACTATTTTGGTCCCAGCATGAATATAGACTGGGGTTTGTTAAAGCTGGCCTACACTGGTTCATAATAACTGATTGTTAAATTTTCAGGAATTTCATGAGTCAATGGTTATGTATAGCCTTTATTAAAAATAAAATTACATAAACTAATAATTTAAATAATATTATAAATAAAAATAAAATCAATATATTCAAATATAATCACTACCTAATTATTTTACCATGTTTTACTATTTATGCTCTTGATATTATTATTATTATTAGCAGTTTTTGGCTGGGGCTGGGTTTGAACCCACCACCTCTGGTATAGGGGGCCAGTGTCCTCCTTTGAGCCACAGGTGCCACCCTATGCTCTTGATATTATTTATATTGGATTTATACAGTAGAAATACTATATAAAGATGTGCTATTGCATACCTCAGTTTCACATTTAATGATATCCCCGGTTGAAATCAGTCATGGAGAAATATTTACATCATGGAAATTGGCAAATGCTACAAATTGGGGTTTTCTGTTTTTTTTTTAAAGAGCCAATTGCTAAACATTTATCAGCATATCACTGTACATAGTCTCCCTTTTCAAATCCTATGGTAGAATTCAAACCAGATGATGGCACTGATTGGACTCAGAGAACAACAAAAGGGAATTATCATTCAGAGAACTTAAAATTAGTTATTAGAAATGGTTATTCTGGGGCACAGGCTTATGCCTCTTCCCCACTTCTACTATTGCTTTCAGTCTATTCTCAGCAAAGCCTCCGGAGTGATCTTGTTAAAATCTAAGTCAGATCAGGTTGCTCTTTTGCTTCAAATCCTCTAATGTCTTCTCATTTCACTTAGAGAATAATCCCTGGTTAACTACATGGATTCTCCTTACCTCTCGACCTCCATTCTTCTCCCTGCAGGTCACTCTGCTTCTCCCAGCCGTCCACGTTTCTGTTCTCCAACCATACCAGTGCTTTCTTGGCTTAGGGACAGTCCATGGGATCTACCTGCAATATGGGATGCTCCTGTCCTGGAAAGCTGCATATTGATCCCTTATTTCCTTCAGATCTTATCTCAAATGTCACTTCTCCGTGAGACCTTCTCCAATCACTTTATTGCAATTAGAGCCCTCCCCATTCCCTACCCACTTTCCTCTTTAGCACTTAATACCTTCTAACTAACCTGCTATTTTTCCCCTTCTCTATAAAATTTGATTTTGTATATTCTTTGTCCTTCCCACTGTCATTGCAATGTAAATTTTGTGAGGAATTTTTATCTGATTGATAATGTTGAATTGTTATTGCCTAGAACCTCGTCCCTGATACATAGCAGTTTCTCAGTAAATACTGAGTGAATGAATGAATGATGAAGTGGTAGAATGGGGATTGGTTAGAAGCTGGAGACCTAGGTTTTAAATTTTACCCTTGCCTGTGATAAGCTCCATAACTGAAAGTTTCTGCCTCCACACCTCTGTGTACTCATCAACAAAATGGGGATACAATGCCTGTCTCGCATGCCTCTTTGACTTTCAGCAAGGCTCAAGTAAAGAAGTCTTGTGTAATTTATTCTTTATATATGTGTGGGGTTGTTTTTATAGTCTTGTTTATGCCCAGTGTAGTGAATGTCTGGATTCATGCCTACCTTGCTTCAAACCATTCCCAAGAAAAAACTCTCCGTTTGAACACAAGATAGAAATAGGTTCCTTTTTGTATTTCCCTCTGAAGATTTTGGCGAACTCTTTATCACTTAGATCAGATAATTGGACTAAATATAAACCACTGAAAACTTGAAGAACAAACCATCAACCTCCCACAAGGATCCAGGGCCTCATACGAGTGCCGTACTGTGTTAGGTGGGCTGCGTATATTATTTCACCCACACTCCGCACTCCTGGGAGAGTATGGCATCACTTTAGAGATAAAGAAATTGATGTTTAGGGAGATCTAGTATCCCATTAAGGCAGCACAGCTGATAAAAGGCAGAGCCTAGGGAAGAACTCACCTTTGTCTGACTTCCAGAGCTAACTCCTACCTGCCTCAGAAAATCTGGTTATTTAATCTGAGAGCCTAAAAGTAAACATTCTCACTCACTACTGTGGATGGTGTTTCTCACTGATACGTTATTTCTTTTCAGACTGTTTATGACCAATGGTTCATCACCCTTTTTAACATTGTTTACACATCACTACCTGTTTTAGCCATGGGAATTTTTGACCAGGTATGTATTTCATTTCATCTTTACAACTTAGTTTTTCTGTTACACCTTTTACTTGCTTCTGGCTTCTAAGTAGAAGACACCATTCATGGAAAGAACCCTATAATTGTAATTGTTTTAGTGGGTGTTGCAGAGATCACAAAACCTTCCAGAGTTACTCCTCATGCCTGTCCCCCAGCATCCCCCAAAGTGTTCTCTGATCAAAGTTTGGCTGCTATTCTCTTAGAGATTCATACCCCCCATTATTGGCTTAAAGGCTCAGAGAAGTCCTGCAGAAAATAGTTCCTTTAACTTCATTTTAGCCCAGAATTTCCCCAAACTACTTTTTTCCCCCCATTTAGAGACAGAGTCTCACTTTGTCATCCTTGGTAGAGCAACCTCCAGCTCTTGGGCTTGGGTGATTCTCTTGCCTCAGCTTCCCAAGTAGCTGAGACTATAGGCGCCTGCCACAACGCCTGGCTATTTTTTTGTTGCAGTTTGGCTGGGGCCAGTTTTGAACCCACCACCCTTGGTATATGGGGCTGGCACCCTACTCATTGAGCCACAGGTGCTGCCAGGCACCTCAGATATTAATTTGCCTCAGTATTAGTGTCTGGAGTTGACACACTGGGAAATGTTACTTTAGCCGCTGAGAGCTTGTAGAGAACTGCAGTGACAGAAAATTATGAAACTAGGTTGGAGCACAGACAGCTAGCATCTGCCATGAGAGTTTCTTGGCCAGCACAGCCCCAGGACAGGAACTACAGGTCAGCAGAGCAGCCTGCTGATGGGAGAGGACACAGAGCCCGACAACCCTGGGGAGAAAGAGCACAGACCTCTCTTGTCTGTATTAACGTGCGTGAGAGGGGACAAGGGAGAATCCGTTTCAAAAATGGTGGATCCTTGGCGTAGTCAGAGCCTTGGAGGTACTTCCTGGAAGGGGGAAAAAGTCTGGCTGCCTGTGGGGAAGTAAAAGACTGGCCAGCTGCGTTTCCATGACACAGGGTGTATTATTTTTAAAAGGTTTTTTTTTTCACTTTTGTGAAGTATTTTTGAGGAGACCAGATTTTCTCCAGGCTGTTGTTAGACTGTTTGCTAGGCCTCATTTTCTGGCCCTGAGCCCTCTATTGCAAAATATAAATCTTCTGTTATGAGCTTGCTCCCCTCTCCCACTCTGCTGGCTTTGTAGTCAGTTGTAAGATTCACTTCTCTTATGTAAAAAAGGGCAGTTTGTAAAAGGCGTATTTTGTAGAATTCTACAAAAAGTAATGAACTTCTGAAGACTCTAGATGTAATGGATTAAGCCTATTCATTTCCAAGTGCTTGTGTTTACAAGTGTTTCTTTTCTTGGTGCTTTGTAGCTGCCCAGAATGTGGAAGAAAATAATAAAAATAAAGCAGTTTCTTGGAAAAGATGGTTATTGTGTAATTCAAAAACAATATAATAAGGCTCCTTATTGCCATCAAGTTGAGTGTCTGTGCCTTTTCTCTCTTCCTTTGTCAAATTTGGCCCTGATACTGATCATAGGATCCTGGAATGCTGTGCTAGAAAGAAAGGTCTCAATCATCTATGGATCTGCTCATTTAAAAAAAAAATTTATTTAAATTTTGTTTGTTTTTTTAACTTTGGAATATTAGGGGGATACACACATTTTGTTTACATACTTTGTTTTTGTACAGGATCTGCTCATTTTTTTAAAGAGGAAACCAAGCCTTGGAGGCTCAAGTCACTGCCCTAAAGTCACATAACCAATAAGTGACAGAGCTAAGCCTAGAACCAGTCCACTTAACTTTGAGATGGATACATTATTACTGTTATTATTATCCTTATTTTATTTATTATTATTGATAGAAGCATCTGTTGTTTATCACTCATGATGTGGGAAGAACTCTGGTGAATAATCAACATACTCTTTGAATCATGACAATGGTTCCATGAGGAAAACGTTACTGCTTGTAGTTCTAGAGATGAGGAAACTGAGGCTCAGATGGGTTAAGTGACAGATCTAAAACTATACACTAGTGAGACTTGTTATTCTGGGGACTAAGCTCATGACTGGTTTCGAAGTCTGTACATGTAACGTGGACTTGAGGAAGAAACATCCAGCAGCAGCTCAAAGCAGGATTTCCTGAAGAGAACACATCAGTACTCTTCATGGGACCCCCCCTAGGGAAGAGCTGGGCCATCCCGGAAGCAGGAAAGGGACCTTTGTCTTTCCCAAGAGTTTACCCACCTGTGTTGCTTCCATTTTGTCTGATGCTCTTCCAGCTGTGGTCCTCTGATACTGTATATCTCCAGAGGTTGATTCTTGCCATCCTTTTAGGGTTTTGGCATGTGGCTTTGGTACTCGTGGTGTAGTTATCAGCATTTCTTTGGTGCCAGCAAGAAATAAACAGCTGGAGCCCTCAGTTTACTGAAGCATACTCTGCTCCCCAGGTGATTGTGTGCATGGCTTAAGTTTTTCCCAGACCCTGTTTGGTGCCAAACGTGCTGCTTTCTCATTCCATCCAAATTCTTTGTCCTGAACAACTGGTAACTGCTGTGGGTGGAACACTCATATTCTAAACTCTCAGTCTCAGCTCCCTTCCCATCTGGAATCCCACATGGAATTTCCCCTTTTCCCTGCTCCCTTCTTCGTACTCACCCCCAAAGTCAGTCCATCTGATTTGCTAATCCTGACTCCACTGTTCTCTGCAGCCATCTACTCATCAATACCCTTTACTGCCTTGGCAATGAACTCCTGGGGCCCCTTGGTTGCACATGATGTGCTGGGGCTTGGAGTGTGAATGCTTCTGAGGAGCCTGCAGCCTTAGCAGCCTGCAGGGGCGTGTAGGAAAGAAACTTCGATTTGAAGCCAAATATCTAGGTTCAAGTCAAGTCCTGGTTTTGCTATGTAAGAATTCATGTGTGACCGCTCATGAATCTCTCTTAGAGACTCAAGTTCCTTCTCTGTAATAGAGGAATCATTTTATTATCCTCTGGGTTATTGTGGGAATGAAAACAAGATAATGTCCCGTTCTAGCCCAGTGAGTAGTGCATATTAGGGCATGCTTAAACAGGCATTTGCTATTTCTGAAAATAGGGAATACAGCGCCTCTCAGTCTCTTCAACCCACTGACATTACACTCTGTTTACAGGATGTGAGTGACCAGAACAGCATGGACTGTCCCCAGCTCTATGAACCCGGACAGCTGAACCTACTTTTTAACAAGCATAAATTTTTCATCTGCATGTTGCATGGAATCTACACCTCATTAGCCCTCTTCTTCATCCCCTACGGGGCCTTTTACAACGTGGCTGGAGAAGACGGGCAACACATTGCTGACTACCAGTCTTTTGCAGTCACCATGGCCACGTCTTTGGTCATTGTGGTCAGTGTGCAGGTAATCCTGTTGGCGAAAGCACCATAACTTGCTGGGTTTACAACCTTTAAAATTCCATTTCATTGTCGGCTGATTTTGTCAACATGTTGGGAGAAAAAGAAATCCTAAATGAATACTGGGGTTTTCTTCTGAACTACACATGTTTTTCCCTTTTTCTCAAATAGATACTTTAGATTACCTAAGGCTGGCCCCTCCACTGGGGCCTACACCTCTTTTCTTTGATGTGGTGGACTTAAGGTTTCGCTTCCAATAATTTTAACGAGGTGTGAGTTGTTAGAGGTACTTCACATGGTCCCTTCCACCTTTCTGCTTCCAGCTGGAGTGAGGACCTGACAGAGGCAAACTCATGAATAGTGATTAGCACCTGACCCTCTCTGTTAAGAGGGAAAAACACCTATCCTAAATGTGGTTTTCTTTTTAACTAGTCATTTTGAGCTGAAAACAGGAAGTTTACCCTGAATTACCAGATGTGAGGGATTAGCATTAGGGGTCCCTTCTTGGGTTGAGTATTATATGTGAAGAGAAATGATTGTACTGCTACATTCTTTTTGTGTTTAATGAAGAAATTTTTTCTAATGATAACAGCGAGAAGCTTTCCCGTTCTTTCTTTCAGACTCAATAACTTCTAGGTTTTTAAAGTGAGATCTAAAGTTTTTTTGGCAATACATTTCTGTGGAATTATTATGGTCACATTCTTCTGTAGTTCAGTGCTGTACCTGTGGCATGTCTGTATCTCAAATTCAGGAAAGCTCTTCTGGTGTGAGCGATTTTTGATATTCCATTGACCTCTTAGGTATTTATTAAATTACCTAGGTAAGTATATTCCTAGGTATTTTATTTTCTTTGCAGCTATTGCGAATGGTATTTAGTTATTGGTTTCTCTCTCAGCGGATCATGATTAGTATATAGAACTGCTAATAATTTGTGAACATTATTTCATAACCTGAGTCTTGACTGCATTTATTTATCAATTATGGGTATCTTTGGGTGGAGTCTTTTGGGTTTTCTGCATAGAAGATCACATCATTGGCAAACAGGGATAGTTGGACTTTCTCTTTCTTGATTTGGATGCCCTTCCTTTCTTATTCTTGCCTAATTTTTCTGGATAGGAATTCCAGTACTAAGTTGAATAGACGCTGTGCCAGTGGCATCCTTACCTTACTCTGATTTTTACAGAGAATGCTTGCCCTTTTTCTTTATTCAGTAGGATGTTGGCTGTGGCTTTGTCATGTATAGCTTTTATTATTTTGAGGTTTGTTCCTTGTGTGCCTAGTTTGTTCAGGGGTTTTATCATAAAGAAGTGCTGGATTTTATCAAAGGCTATTTCTGTATCTGTTGAAATGTGCATGTGGTTTCTGTGTTTAATTCTGTTTATGTGGTGAATCACATTTATTTATTTGCATATGTTGAACTATAACCTTTTCTCCTTCGAGTAGGTTTTTTATACTTTTTTCTTTTTCTTCTTCACCATCAGGGATACCTACTTCTGATATTTGTGTTCATTTTACATAGTCCCAGGTTTCTTGGAGAAATTCTTCTTTCCTTTTTATTGCTTTTTGTATATTTCTGACAGACTGGGTTAATTTTCAAACCTTGTCTTTAAGCGCTGGAATTCTTTCTTTTGCTTAGTCTAGTATGTTGTTAAAACTTTCTTAAGTTTTAAACTTTAATGAAATTTTCATCCATGTATTGAATTATGTGGTTGGTTTCTTTGTGTAGTTTTCAACTTTCTTGTCTATCCCATTGCTCTTACTTGTCATCCTTATTCTGAATTCCATATATGACATTTTAACAATTTCCTTTTGGTTGGAGTCTGTTACTTGAGAACTATTGTGATCCTTTTAGGATATCAAAACAGCCTGTTTTTTTTTTTTTATGTTGACAGAATTCTGGTTCCTTCTCATCTAAAACCTTTCTCTCAGCTCAAGACAGATATCTCTGTGGTACACCTGTTCTCTACTGGGAACTCTGTAGAGGAGGAAGAGAGGGTGAAATCCTTGGATGGCATGAGTCCTACTCCAGAGGATTGACAGTCAGGAGAGGCGCAGGTGCACTGTGAGTCTGTTACATCTTGCCCCTATGCATTAATGTTGCAGGTAGTCAGAGTATGGGGCACGCTCTGTCCAGGTCTGGCAGTGATATTCATTTGGTATGTGGTAGCCTGGGTGCTCACCTACCCAGGTCCTTGGCAGTGGTGGGTGATTTGACATGCAACTACATAAGAGTCTGCCCCACCCAGGTCCTTTAGTGATGATGTTACCCAGGTGACAGCAGCAGCTGCTATCCCATTCAGATGACAATGACGAGTGCTTGGGACTACAGGCACTGTCTCCACCAAGGTCTTATAGCAGCTTTAACTACCCAGGATTGCCCAGGCAATGTTAGCTGGCATTAGGTACATGGGTGCTTGCTCTCCCCTGGTCCCCCAGTGGTGGTGAGGGTGTATAGCACCTCCCCACAAGGTATGCAAAAGCACCTGGACTCCCTGCTTCTCCCCAGCCTGTCAGCGGAATGAGGAGGTGGCAGCAACAGATCTTAACCCCAGACAGATGCAGCACTGGGACCTCAAAATGGTCAGCTGCAGTGTTCAGGGTTTGGGAACTAATAAGACCCCATCATGCCTTCTCTCTAGAGCAATTCATCTGCACAGTCTCAAATCAGCTCCATGTGTCAATCCAGTGGCCTGCTGCAATGGAGGGACCCTCCTGCTGCTCTGATTGCAGTGTTCACTGGGGAAGTGTAAAGCCCAGTGTGTTCTGTCCCTTTCCTGCCTTCCCTGTGTGTCTCTTATCCTGCTGAGCGGGTCACTGCACTTCCTTCTTACGTTCTGGGCACCTCTTGCCTCTCTGTTGATTCTCAATGCTGTCTCTCAGATGATTGAAATGAAGGTAAAAATCCACTAAGCACTTTTGACCCTCTCGTGAGAGTGGTATGTACAGGCTGCTACTTCTTGTCTGCCACCTTGCTTCTCCCCCCACTAACATGTTATTGTTAGTATACGGGCCTCATAGACCTTGTATCTATGGATTTGCCATCCATGTCTCATATCTTTTTGCATATGAGTTACGTTTTTCCAAGTTTTTATTCTCTGTTGTGGGATAGTATTTTCATTTTTCCCCTCAAAAGATTAATTCAGTTCTTATCAGTGACTATTCCTTGGTTTCTATGTTGAAGTTTTAAATTTAGAAATAGTGTTTTATTGTCTTTTCTATAACCTATTTGTAATTGCATCTCCTTAAGAAGTTTTAGTTTTTTTTTGTTGTTTTAGTACTTGTTTATCTCTTCCGTTAGTTCTTCTTTACTAAGAGCCATTTATCCTCTTTTTTTCTCCTTTAGCTTACTCTGTTTAAATGGCTTGTGATTTTTCTTTGCAAACTCTTACCCATACATGTCAGGCTATTGTTGTTTCTTAATGATGATGAGGTGACAGGTGGTGGAAGGCAGAGATGGAGATTTTGGTCTAATATCTTGCAACCAAATGAACTGGAAAACCAGCATCTCTTTGTTGAAGTATGGATGGTAGGGCTGTTTCAGACCTCTTGTGGGGAGGAAAGGCTGTCCTTTTATAAGGACACATCCAAGACTCCCAGCATCTTTTAATGGAGCAACATTTTAGAGAACACTAAACTGAAAGTAAAAAGAGGAAGTATGTCTGCACATGTTGAGAGGGATCTATTTACTATGCAGGTAGGACCTCCTCAGGCATATGAGAAACGTCTGGTCTTTCACCAGACTCTACTAAAAATGCCAAACTTTACTTGGACTTTGACCACCTGGGAACTCTGAAATGCAAATAATAACACCAGAACTTACTCTTTCTTCCTCTGGAGAATTTAAGAGTTCATGTTTAGCAGTGGCTTCCTTAATTCCCTAGTCGCAGGCCATTCTTTGTTTAACTGAGCTGCTACAATAGTTGTTGGAAGGGAAAAGCATTTGTGATCAGTTCCCGAGTCACCATGAATCCCAGTTTCTACATTTTAAGCCAAAAGGGGATTAAGAATTTTTCTTTGTTATTATTTGAAGAATTTAAGAGACTAGATCATCAAAATGAGTTGAAATATAGATGTAAAACAAACTATGTATGTGTAAAAATTGTCATGTGAAAATGTATACACAGATTATATAAACTATTTCACTTGCCTACTACACAAATAATTTTTTTTTTCTAACAGAAAAGTTTTGGGAACCATTTCAGAAATAACTTTAAAATTATAAAACACTGTGTTTTCTTATTTAACATTTTATCTTCTGATTCTGATTCAACCTTTGCAGAAATGGCTTGCATATATAAGTTCTAAAGTCAATTGTCTACCAGAATATAAAGTCAAATCAGTCCCGTGTATGTGCAGAAATTGGGAGTGTCTGTGGTTGGCCTGGCATCTAGACAGGTGTAACCTTCCTGTCACAGAGCAGATCTGGGGAAATATCAGTTGGTAAAATGACACTGTTTTAGTCCTCTAAGACCTCCCCTTTGCATCTGATTTTATGTACAGATAGCCTTGGATACCAGTTACTGGACCGTCATCAATCATGTCTTCATCTGGGGAAGCATTGCCACCTATTTCTCGATTTTATTTACAATGCATAGTAATGGCATCTTTGGTGTCTTCCCAAATCAGTTTCCATTTGTTGGTAAGTGAGTCAACTGTCTAGTGGGCTTAATGTCATGCTGCATTCATTTGTCTTTAACTGATTTTTGTGTGTGTGTTGAGTGGAGCTGGGAATGACCAATGATTCTTTCTTTAGGAAATGATTAAGGTAGGCATCTGAAGGCTGCTAGACTTGAAGAAGCTCTGAAAGATTCATTTTTGCTATCTCCATCAGATTAGGAAGAATCACTGTGATAGCAGTTAACAGGTTATCAATAGCCCAGATGCAGTAGGCTGTCCTTCTGCAAAGAAGGGACATAATACATATACTGGGGCTATCTGAAGACAGAGAACATATTCATATATGGTAGAAAAGGGAAAGAAATACTTGACTTTTCTGTTTATGCCACATTACCACCAAAATCTCTGCCAAAATTCCCCTGTAGAACTTACTTGTTAGTTAAGAAAGGAATAATGTACAATTTAGAGCTTTCTAAAAATTCCTAGATGTTAGTTCTTAAGCAGCTTGAAGAGCAAGGTTTGTAGTTAGACAGAGTTCAAGTGCCTGCTCCACCACTTAATGAGCTGGGTGACTGTGGCAAGTTTCTTCTCCTTCCTATCTGAGGGTGTATAGGAATAAACAAACTCTTTTATACTTTCACTCAACAATTAATGCAGAAGATGTCTGTCACCTATAGTCATCAAGAAGTGGGAATTTCTTTCCACCAACAACCAATGAATTCTGCAAAAGACAACTGATTATCTTCCAATTCAGTTCCAACATTATCTTCCTGAAGATAGTGTCAGAACCCACAGGGTAGGGACTTAGTCCCACGAGACTGCCTCCTACTTCTAGTGGCAACCACAAGCGCTAAGATGTTTTACTTATACTGCTGACAAATTTGCTGTAAGATGGGATTCCCACTGGCTATAAATTGAGAACCCCCTCCTTGGGTTCAATTAATTTGCTAGAGTGGATCATGGAACTCAGGGAAACATTAACTTATGTTTATCAGTTTATCCATAAAGAATATTATGAAGGATACAAATGAAGAGATATATAGGTGATTTGTGGGGGAAGGGCTGCCTAGCTTCCATGCATTTTATGGACATGTTACCCTTCAGAAGCCTTCACATACATGTTCAGCTATTTAGAAGCTCTCCAAATCCTGTTCTTTGTGTCTTTATGAAGGCATCATTATATAGGTGTGATTGGTTAAATCACTGACCATTTGTGATTCAGGCGCTCTTCCCTCTGTGGTCATCTTAACCTTCAACTCCCTAATCCTGCCTTGGTTTTCTGATGACCAGCCTCATCTTGAAGCTACTTAGGGACTTACAACTTTCAGTCAACTCATTACCATAGAAAACACTTATCAGTTTGAATGATCCAAGGATAGTTAATCCCCACTGTAGGCCGGGAAATAGAAAGAAGACCAAATATCATATCACAGTAGGCTT